ATATACTCTTATGCTTTTAATGTGTTTCCTAGATTTTTAGTGATGTTCTCCTTTTATTCCTGACATTAGTAATTTATGCTTTATCCCTTTTTCTCTTGATTGATCTTGCTAGGAATTTATCAATTTAGCAATTGTGTTAATCTTTTCAAAGAGTGAATTTGGCTTTGTTGATCTTCTGCTGTCTGTTTGCTATTTGATTGCGTTCTGCTCTTTATTATTCTCTTTCTTCCACATCTTCTGTGTAGTTCATTATTCTTTTTTGGCTTCTTAAGTTGGAAACTTCATCAGTTTTTCAGGCTTTCTTTTTCTAATATTTGCATTTAAGCTGTCCATTTCTCTAAGCTTTGGTCTAGCTGTAACCTCCAAGTTTTGAGATAGCTATTTCTTTTTTTGTTTTTTGTTGTTGTTGTTGTCGTCGAAGTATAGTTGATTTACCATGTTGTGTTACAGATAGCTATTTCTCCTTTTAGTTCTGTGGGTTTTTTAAAAGTTTTTATTTAAAATAGTGTCAGACCTGCAGACTTACAGCAGAGTTGCAGATATAGCACCCTGAGCATTCCGGTCCCCAGCTTTCCCGGTAACACACACATGGTCCATAACCTTGGCACAGTGATCCATGCTGAGAAGGTGTGGCACGTGGCACAGGGCTGCTGACGACGCTGCACACCTGGCTCCCTGTCCCAGTCTGCCCACTCATGCCCTCTCTGCTTCAGGGTCCAGTCAGGGCCCCCCGGGCTGCATGTAGCCTCGCCTTCCATAGTCTCCTCCCATCTGTGACAGTTTCTCCCAACCTGGACACACGGGAAGAATCCTGGGTGGGTGTTTTATAGAAGATTCCTCAGTTTGAGTTTGCTGTGGATTCTGGAGGGAGATCCCACAGAGACATGGCGCCTTTCTCTTTGCCCCATAGCAGGGCTACCTCAGGTCATGTGACTTGGCACTGGTGATGTTGGCCTAGAACACTGCCAGAGTCCTCCACAAAATGTCTCACGTGTTTCTTTTCCATCCTCTGTCCCTTAGAAGCAACTCACTGAGTCCAGCCGCACTCAGAAACGGGAGGGAAACTGAGTCCACCTCCCCGGGGAGGGGGGATGTTAATGTGCACATGTTACTGGAAGATCGCAGGGAGGAACTTAGTGGCTGTGCAATAACCTGCTTCTCCCTGAAGCCTTGCCTGCTGCTCCCAGTGGCCCTCAGCAGATCTTTCCTGCAGCAGCGCCTTTTGTGCTAAGGCCCTCATCCCCGCACCGTTTTAGTCTTCGGAATTCTGTCAGGTAGCATTGTCCCTTTCCTGTTAGTTCTGTCAAGTTTTACTTTGTATGTTTTGAAGGTAAGCTATTAAGTACATACTGTTGCCTACCTTCAAATACAACAGCCAGTTATGTTACCAGCAACATGAGTTTACTCGGGAGAGGCAGGGGAATTACAGTTCGGGACCCGCAAGCTATGGCAAACCACAGGCATCCTGCAACAATGGAGAGGAGCCTTATTTTGGGGGTGGGGGGCGCGGGGGAAGGAGGAAGTTGGGCGGGACTGCTTTGAAGGTTTTCCAGTCTCCATTGGAGGAAAGTGAGAGTTGAGGGTGGTGGCGGTTTCTCATTGGCTGGGCTGTTGCTGGGCCGGGAGAAAATCTTCCTTCCTCTTCCCGGGGCAGCGCACCAGCTTCTTCCTGCCCAGAAGCGCAAAGCAAGCTGGGAAGGAGGGCCTGGTGTGGGAGCGCCCCCTTCAGGGCTTCCTGCCTCCGTTTTAAGCGAGGTTGCCCTTATCAATTTCCACACTGTAGGATTGTTATTTCTTCCTGTGGTGTTCATATGTTCTTATCACATGCCCTCTTTATTTCTAATAATCCTTCTTGCCTAAAAGTCTGCTCCCTGTCTGGAGGGGGAGGCCTGCCCATATCAGCTGTGAGCCTCCCTCTGTGGTTTGTCACCTGGCAGCTGCCCTTCTCCTTTGGGGCTGCATTCTGGGAGGGTCCCTTCCTCCAACTCCTAGCTCTCTTTTTATTTTTATTTATTTATTTATAAATTTATTTTATTTACTTATTTTTGGCTGCGTTGGGTCTTCGTTGCTGCACTTGGACTTTCTCCATTTGCAGCGAGCAGGGGCTATTTTTCGTTGCGGTGCGTGGGCTTCTCACTGCGGTAGCTTCTCTTGTTACGGAGCACGGGCTCTCGGCGCACGGGCTTCAGTAGTCGTGGTGCACAGGCTCAGTAGTTGTGGCTTGCGGGCCCTAGTGCACAGGCGCAGTAGTTGTGGCACATGGGCTTAGTTGCTCCACTGCATGTGGGATCTTCCTGGACCAGGGCTCGAACCCGTGTCCCCTGCATTGGCAGGCGGATTCTTAACTGCTGTGCCACCAAGGAAGCCCTGGACTGTGTCTTTTTAATTACAGCCTATTCATACATTTCTATGAATCGGCATCTTTCTAATATTTTGAGGTTATGATGGGGCTTGCCAAGCTCTCTTCTGTTAGCAGTCTGCTTGTGGAGCTTGGTGTTTCTCCCTCTTCATGTTGGCGTTTTCTACAGATTCTCAGTTGTTAGTTCATGTTTATATGAATGTGGGTCTTAAATTGAACTCTTTACATCTGTCGCCCACCTGGGGCACCCATTGGCTTCTGAGTGCCCCTGGATGTGACCATGGGAGTGGCTTCTAGTGTGTCGCTGCGTGGGGACGGGTGTGGCATGCTAGTGCACCGTGAGTCAGGCCAGCTGCACAGGCCTGGCTGGCGCTCTGAAGGTCCTTCCGGCCCGAGGGAGGCTTCGGGGGGAAGCCCTGTGATGTCGTGGCTTAGCTTCCTGAGCTGGGCCAGGTTAGACCCTCCTTCCACATGTTCCCGGGGCACTTGCCTGCCCGCATGCTGCTCTGTGTTCATTCTCGTGCTCTCTGCCGTCACCACCGTCCTGGAAGGATGCTGTTTGGCCACCGTCTCGAAGGGAGAAGCAGGCCTTATTTTTACAAAATGTCAAAAATTTGAACACCCTATGTACTCGTGCGTTGCCTTTTTGCATTCATTTACTATTCCAAGGAGAGGAAGCTGTGGTTGGCTAATCAGGAGTCTGTTTTACATGAGTTTGCATTTGTTAATAACATCTTCGTGCATTTAAAAGCTGCACACATGCCTGCGTCATATGACTTGTTCAGTCTGCCAATTGCGCTGCTGAACTTGCGTGAATTAAAAACTCATTTGGGGGGGTGGGGAGTAACTGCCAGTGGGTACAGGGTTTCCTTTTGGGTGATGAAAATGTACCAAGGTGTGGTGAGGGTTGCACGACTCCGTGAACACACTAAACCACTCAGCCTATGAACATTTCAAGTGGGCACACGTCAGTGCGTGAGTTACATTGCAATAAAGATGTTACAACTTACTATAATAACTTCAAGCCCCCCAAGCTGCTGGGGGCCCTGGCCCATGGTGTGGGGGGTGGGGTGGGTCCTGGCGTCTGTGAGCTCCTCTGGGGAGCACCTCTCTCTCACCTTCCGTTGCGGGAGCTCCTAAACGCGCACTGAGGAGCTGGCTGGGAGCGAGCCCCCGGCATTAGCAGGTCTCCCATCCGCCGCCCCGTTTACCTCCGAGCTGGCTGGGCTGCGGGGTGGACCGCGTTTGTCTGTCTGGTGTGTCTGGCGTGAGAGCATGCAGTGCTGATGGGGAGCTAGTGCCCAGCCTCCCTGTCTTTCTGTCCAGATGGTCAGTATGTCGGCTGTTCCCCGGACTCGGCTCTGGCGCGGCGAGCGTGATCCCTTGTCACTGCAACCTGACCAGAGGCCTCAGAGCTGTGTGGGCTCCAGGCGAGCTTTGCCGGGGGTCGAGGGAGCAGGGCCACAAAGGGCAGGGACGCTTCTGGGACATGCTGACTGCCAGATGCCACGGTCGTCAGGCCCGTCCCTGGGCTGCCAGCCTGCATGCCTGTGGCCGGCTCCCCGGGGCGCTGGCTCCCTGGGTGCCCACCTTTGGCCGGCGGTCAGTGTTGGCGTGTGTGGGGTGTGTGGGCCATACCGTTAGCGGCCGAGGCTGGAGGAGGAGACCACACAGCCCTCGCTTCCCTGAGCCCATGGTCCTTGTCAAAGAGCGCAGCGGAATCGGCTCTTAGCTCTTTGTGGGCTGAGGTCCCTGGCCCAGCGTAGGGCGGCCTTCGCCAGAGGAGAGAGGGTCTCGGGTGCCGAGGACACTGGGTGGAACTGGGACCTGTCTGCTCGCTGTACCAACACAGCACATGGAGGTGGGTGTGGGCTGGGCCTGGAGCAGAGACGTAGGAAGCTGTGGGCGCGCCGGCTCACAAGGGCAACGCGCTGCCGCGTGCGGGATGGCCCACGATGACCCGCCGGTGTGTGGGCAGCATGTCTGCTTCCTCTCTTGCTGCCGTCTTTTGGCCCATAGCTTCTGAGATGGCCTTGCTTCATTAAGAGGTGTGGACGCAGACTGTGGCCCGGGTCAGCTGACATCCTGGTCGTGCGAGGGCCCGCGCCCCTCCCTCCCCGAATCTGCCTGTGCTGTCCGTGGCCTCACCGAGGCTGGCGTGGGGGCCTTAGGGAAGGCTGGGTGGGCGTGACCCACCCCCTGGCTCTGGGAGCAGGAGGCAGAGCCTGGGGAGCTCACCCACGGGGAGGGGGCGTTTGAGGTTGAGTGTGTGGAACTTGCTGGCCATATTGTTTAATGGTGTTCAGCACCAGGCTGGCCGGCCTGCACAGAGCCCTTTCCAGACACTCTGAGCTCAGGGCCCTTGAGAAGGGCCCTTGCCCCCTGGGCCTGATGCCACTCCAGCCTGGAGGAGAGCGTCTCACAGCACGTGAAATAATAGGAAATTTGCATCCAGTGTCCATACATAAAATTTTACTGGAACCCATGCAAAAAGTGAACTTAAAAGTGTAAAAGGAAAAGGGTAGATCTTCACTTTCCATCTTCAATTGCTGAGGCGGTCGTGTGACCCTTTTATTTTTAACAAAGTTGTCAGTTAACGGACGGTTGGGAACCCGCGGTAACGTTTCATGTTGTGTCCTAGGGAGGCGTCAGATCCATCACCTGGGGAACCAGCTGCAGCTGAACCAACACTGCCTGGACACAGCCTTCAACTTCTTCAAGATGGCCGTGAGCAAGCACCTGACCCGTGGCCGGAAGATGGCCCACGTGATCGCGGCCTGCCTCTACCTGGTGTGCCGGACGGAAGGCACCCCGCGTATCCTTTGGTTTGGGGACCTCTTGGAGGACCCCATCTTGGCTCTTGGTCAGCCTCCCTCTGCTGTCGGGCTCTGTGTCCCAGTAGCTTAGTGTTTGTGTTTGATTGGAGCACCTTGTTGGATTAACCGTCTGGACGGATAGGAGACTTTCACAGATTGAGGAGCTGGGCAGCTTGGTGCCCGTCCCCCCTCGGCCCCTGGGGAGGACTCTTCAGCATCTTCCCGTGGTTGGCCAGTTGTAGCCAGGCCGGTGTCCCGAGGGGCTGCTGACCTCGTCCCCTCCTCGCCAGCCCCGCCTTCTCCGAGAGCACGGTGCTCTGCTCTCCCCTTGTGCCTGGACGGTGGGGCGCCCTCGGCTGCCCTGCAGGCGTTTGCGTGTGTCGGGAATTCTGTCCATCGCGCCTTCCTGAAGAGGGCCTTCTGGGGCCTTCTGGCCCCTCCACTTGGCCTCTGCTCTCGCTGCCTCCTCGTGTCTCTTTTCCCCTCGCCTCTCCTTGCAGGACCCACGCTCCTGGCCCTGTGTCCTCGTCCTTATGTGACAGCACGTGCCCCGTGGCTTCTGAGAACGGGCGCCTCTGAGCATCTGACCCCCTGTGGTCTTCCTTCTGCCCAAGCTTTGGGGATAGTCTGGCAGGATTCTGGGCTGCAAATTGGTCTCCCCAGCATTTGGACAGTGGTGCCCATAGTCTCCCTGTGTCCCGCGCGCCTTTGGGACAGGTGGATGCCCTGGTTCGGGGTCCTCTGTGTGGGACGCTGCGTTGCTCTCCAGGCTGTAGCACCTCCTGTTTGTCTTCAGGCTCAGAGGTCCATGTGCGGTGCCCCCAGCGGCCCTTCCCCCGCGGCCTCCCGTCTCCGGCTTCTGGAGTCACTGTGGCTTCTCCCTTTGTGTCTTCTTTGTTCACTCTGCTGCCCTGCTGACCTGTCTTCTGGTCTCCTTTCCTGTTTCCCACTTACTTACCTTCTGCTTTGAGAGAGTTTATCTTCCAGCCAGGCCTGCGTTTCTGCTTTCATGGTTTCAGCTGGAGCAGCTCCGTGTTATCCGCACCCTTCCTTGTGAGGCGGTCCTGCGAGGCTCTCGTGGGAGCCACGGCGTCTGGTCTCTCGTGGGAGCGGTGGCCTCTTTGAGCTATCTCCTCCCCTGCTGTTCCTTCCGTGTGCCGCGCAGGCTTTCCCCGATGGCGGGTGGCCTGGCCGTCGCCCCCGTTTGCATGGAGTGCTGGAAGGGTCCTCGAGACAGTGTGCGTGGGTGGGCGACCCTCAATATCAGAATCTTTCACTAAAATGTCTTTCAGTTTTTGAAAGGTACCGTTTCAGCATAAAAGGAGCGTTTGTTGCTTGAAGGGATGAAGCTGCGCGCCCTGGCGGCCCCACGAGGTGGCGCAGTGGAGCTCCGTCCGTGGTCACCGCCTTGCCCCGCAGCGAGGCCTGCCCCGCCCTGGCTCGGGCGGGGTGGGGAGCCGGGGCGGGCTGCAGGGAGGTGCGGGGCGCTCGGGTCAGGGCCCCGCTCTGCCTCCGAGCGTGGCCCGAGCCGGAGCCGGAGCCGCGGGGGCCGCAGGGGCGGTCGGGGAGCGGACACAGGTGTACGGGCGGGCGGGGCTTTGGAGGCGGCTGCTCCATTCCCCGCCTCGCGCTCCTCCCGCCCCCCTGGGGCGAAGGGGCGGGCATCTCATCCAGGGGGTCCAGACCTGGACCCGCCCCCGGGTGGAGGAGAGTGAGCGGGCCCAGCAGCCCCGCCCCTCCGGCCCACAGCAGCCCCGGCTCGCCCACACCCGAGGGGTGGGTGCCTCCCACACGGTGGAGCGGCGTGCCGCCTGCAGAGGAACGTGACCCTGGATGCGGCGCGGCGCCCCGTGGAGGAGCCGCACTGGAGGCCGCACGTTGTGTGATTCCCTGAATACCAAACGTCCAGATGAGGCAGATCCAGACAGAGCAGATCCGTGGGTGCCGGGGACTGGGGGTGGTGACGGGGGTGGGGTGGGGGTAGGGGCGGTTCTTTTTGAGGGATAAAAATGTCCTTAAGTTAGATTATGGTGATGTTTGCATAGCTCTGTAAATAGACTACGAGCCATTGAAATGTACATCTTGAACAGGTGCATTTGTGGCCCTGACTTTGACCTCGTGAAGCTGTTGAAGATGAGACAGCAGTGTGCGGGGAGTCCAGCGCTCTGGCCGCTGGGCCTGCCGGTGGTCCCCTCAGGATGGCCGTTTGGGGGCGGCGGGGGGGGGCACAAGTGTGACACGGTCTTCTCTGTCCTCTTCTGGTTGACGACACTCCCCTGCCCCCATCCCCCAGCAGGGTCCGCAGACTTGTCCGACGCCCACCAGTGCCACCTCCTTTCCTTCCACGTAAATTCCAAGCCCCTAGAGCGTATCTGAAGGCTTCATTCACTCTCCTCTCCTTGCCCCAGCTGCCCTCCTGTTTCTGCTGCCTGGGGCTGCACCGGCCCTGCAGACAGCACCTCCCCGCCCGCCCCCCCCCCCCCACCGACCCACAGAAGGTAAAGCCGTCGCTGGGGCAGGCTGAGGAGAGACCTGCTCTCTAGACCGTCCGTCCCTGGGTGGGCATTTGGCAGAAACTTTCAGGCTGTGAGCAGACACCCCTGTTGCTGCCAGGCCGGTGACCCAGCCAGCGCATCTTCCCGAGCTGTGTGTCTAGATTGTTACTGCAGCTTTTTAAAAATTTATTTATTTATGTATTTTAAAATATTTATTTATTACTTATCTGTTTTGGCTGTACCAGGTCTTAGTTGCAGCACGTGGGATCTTCAGTGTGGCATGTGGGATCTTTAGTAGCATCGTGCGAACTCTTAATGGTGGCATGCATGCGGGATCTAGTTCCCAGAGCAGGGATCGAACCCAAGCCCCTTGCATTGGGAGCGCAGTCTTAACTACTGGACCACCAGGGAATCCCCCCCTTTTATTTTTTCAACATAGGCCATCTTCAAAACCCCTATTGAATTTGTTACAATATTGCTTCTGTTTTATGTTTTGATTTTTTTGGCCTTGAGGCATGTGGGATCTTAGCTCCCTGACCAGGGATTGAACCTGCACTCCCTGCATTTGAAGGCAAAGTCTTAACCACTGGGCCGCCAGGGAAGTTATTTATTTATTTATTTAGTTGCACTGGGTCTTAGTTGTGGCAGGCGGGCTCCTTAGTTGTGGCTCGTGGGCTCCTTAGTTGTGGCTTGCCAGCTCCTTAGTTGCAGCACGTGGGCTCCTTAGTTGTGGCATGTGAACGTTTAAGTTGTGGCATGCATGTGGAATCTAGTTCCAGGACCAGGGATCGAACCCGGACCCCCTGTATTGGGAGTGTGGAGTCTTATCCACTGTGCCACTAGGGAAATCCCACCACAACTTTTCGTGAAACACATCCATGGGAGGTGTGTTTTTGCCCACAGCTATTTTTTAAGTCTTTGGTCTTTATTGGGTTCCAGCCGAACTACCAGCAGGCCTGTGTATGAGCAGGTGAGCCCTAGCAGTGGTCTAGGCCAGGAGGCTGCTGTCACCTGTCACCCTTTCTGTGTAGAGCGTGCCCACGGCCACAGCCGTGTCCTGCCCACCGTGACCTTCAGATCTTCTTCTCTCCCAGGCTTCAGACACCCAGGGTCTTGTTAACAGCGGGTTCTGGTCTGCAGCTCTGGTGGGGGGGGGGGGGGCTTCCAGAATGAGCTTCTGTCCCTCTCCTCAGGTTCACCTGGGGATCTTCTTTCTTGGAGGGCAGTGCAGCTGGGGACTCCCTTCTCCCCAGCCTACCATTACCTGCTTCCCTCCGCCCCTCCCCCTCTGCTTGCCTCCCCAGGGACAACCTAAGAATTGAAGAAAAAATTTTTTTTAAATGTATTTATTCATTTATGGCTGTGTTGGGTCTTCGTTGCTCTGCACGGGCTTTCTCTAGTTGCGGCGAGCGGGGGCTACTCTTTGTTGCGGTGCACAGGCCTCTCATCGCAGTGGCTTCTCCCGTTGTGGAGCACGGGCTCTAGGTGTGCGGGCCTCAGTAGTTGTAGCCCATGGGCTTAGCCGCTCTGCGGCATGTGGGATCTTGCCGGACCAGGGCTCGAACCCGTGTCCCCTGCATTGGCAGACGGATTCTCAACCACTGCGCCACCAGGGAAGCCCTAAATAGACTTTATTTTTAAGAGCAGTTTTAGGTTCACAGTGAAATTGAGAGGAGGGTACAGAGATTTCCCATACCCCCCAGTCCCCACACATGTACAGCATCGCCCAGGTTGGACATCCCCTAGAGCGGTGCATTGTTACCAATGGTGAACCCACAGTGACACCTCATCATCACCGAGAGCCCATGGTTTGTTTACCTTGTGGGTTTGGGCGAATGTATAACACGATGTTATGTATCTGTGGTATCATGCAGAGGGTATGTGGTCAAAAGAAGGCCTCAGGGTGGCTGATTAGCATTTATCGGCAGGCACTCAGCATCACTGGGCATGAGGAAGTTGCAAATTCAAACCCATGACAGGCAGAGATGGAGAGGACCGCCCAGTGTTGGCCAGCCTTGGGCCTCTGGAGCTCTGTGACCTGCTGGCCAGTGTGTCCTGCCTGCCAGCATCCAGTGATGCTGAGCATGGGCACACCCTGGGGTCTAGCAGGCATGTCCTGGGCCGAGGCCAGGGCTGGGCATCTGCGTGGAAGGTAGCCTCCCCGTCCTGGCTGCCCTCCACCTCTCAGCAGTATCTTTTGATGAACAGAGCTCTTAATTCTAATGAAGTACAATTTATCCATCTTCTCCTTTGTGATTAATGTTTTTGTGTCCCGTTTAAGAAATCTTTGCCCCAAATCCTGGAAATATTCTCCTGTGTTGCCTCCTGGAAGCTTTTGGTTTTACATTTCCCATTGGATTGAGGACTTCTAAGGGGTTGGTCTGTGTGTCTGTTGTGAGGAGATGGTCAGAGTTTGCTGCTTTCCACTGGGTGTCCAGGTGACAAGGTGCCATCTGTTGACAACCATTCCTCCCAGTGCACAGTGGTGGCACCGCTGTTTTGAA